AAAGCTTTAACGAATTTTTGATTGACAGGCTCAGCGATTTCAAAGCGAGCAGTGGTCAACACTGTATGAAAAAAAAAAATTATCTCCAGCATGTGAGACTATTGGAAATCCTAAAGATGTGCTCTTTTTAAATATTTTATGTTATGGCCGTTGAATTGAATTTTATGGTTTAAGTGCAAAGAACATGATGCTTACTAAATAAAGGTAACACACAAAACATTAAAAAAATGCCCATTTGGACATAATATAAAATCTGAAATCTTTCAGATATTTTTTTTTTTTTTTTTGAATTAATTTTTTTTAACCTTGTTTTTAACTTCCAGCACGGCGTTATTTTTTAGCATCGTATCACCGTTTTTGGCATGAAAAACGACAGAAATGAGTGAATATTTATAATAAATTTGTTAAGAAATAAAATAATAATCTTATTATCGCAAAATACAAATGATAGCATATTCAAATATAAGTAAATTATTTTAAAGTTCTTATGTTTTGTATTTCATCATAGAAAATTTTAAATTTATTATTTAATAATTACATTTTAAAATCGAAGCTAATTTTAATATTCATCAAAGACAAGTATAGACAAAAAAAAAGGGAAACACCTTGGTAGAAAAAAAAGTAAGTTTACCTTACTTCTTACAATTTTTCTCCTGGTTACAAAAATGCTTTTCAACTAACTTAAATGTTTTTTATTCTTTCTAAAAAATAGAATAAAGAAAATAAGGAATTGAAATTGCTATTGTTCTCCCATCCAAAAGTTCCTTGTCTTTCTTCTTCATCAGATAATTCTTGAATAATCCAAGCAAAATCAGCTGGTTGCACATATTTTTTTTGTCATGAAAACCGATATAAAATTTACAGAGCCAAATGCATTCAGAAATTAAAATATAGCACAAAATCCCAGCTAAAAAAAAGTCAAATGACTTCCTGTTGGCACATTTCATGATGTGGGGAAGGGTAGAAAGGAGGAATAGAAATGATCTTCAGACGTCTCAGCTTTGATATGCGAAAAATGTGCATTAAAAACTGAATTTGTCATAAATTTTGTGTGCATGCTGGAAGGTTAAAAGTACTTCGATAAATTGAAGCTTTCCTTCATTACTGAGAATTTTCTCAGTGTAAAAGTGTAAGAAAATTACAAAATGAAATTAGCCAAAAAATATTAAAGTTAAAATATGTAGTTAGTACATTTTTGTCAAACCATAATATAAAGAATTGAATAGATTGAATCATAATTCAAATCAAATAAACTGAATTATAAAGCAAATTTAAAAATCAATTTTGATTCTCTCAAATGGTGCCTATTCACAATGTGAAAAACATCCCAGAGACTTTCAATTTTTGGTTGGGAAGCTCCTGGTTTTTCATATTTCAAGGTGGCAGCTATGATATACATATTAAAGGTAGCCTGTAAATGATGGATATAATAGAATAATTTTACTGCTGAATAAAATTAAGAGCTAATGCAATATATAACAAAAGCCTAAAGCCAGGCATGTTTTGTGAGAGAGACTGCCAAATGACTCGAGCTATATCTATGATGGGTGGTTTAGTATGCATTCTGTCTCAGAAACAAGTTTTTTCATGCCATTATTTCAGTATGGCAGATTGTAAACAGGACATTTATTTACATAAATACAAACATATGATACATGTTTCTTACATATATACATGTTTCTTACATATATTGCAGTTTTGTATTTTAAATCCAACATCTTATCTTACATTGCTCAGGTCAGTTTGTGCTTCACTATTCTGTCACACCATCTTGCTAAATACACATGCACATGCACAATTATTATTATACTGCAATGTGGCACATTTACATAAATCTACAATATTACATTTATATTGATGCATGATGGGGACAATAAGTGCAAAATTGTGATACGGAATGCCATTAAAAAGTCTTCCAAATTATGCATTGCTAATTTATAAGGCTTTGTCAGAAAATTTCTGATGTAGAAAAGAATAATAAAGCAACAAAAAATACATCTAATTACATATGAAATTTGTAGATTAATATAATTTTAGCATACCTTTATAACAAAGGTAATCTGACATTATCTAAGAATTATTGGGATATCTGCATTCATTCTTGCTCAGATCCACATTTCATCTCAGTAAGGTTAAATATTTCATCAAAGTAAGGTCTCAGAAGTTATTAGATGGCTAACAGTTTGTCATTCAGTCATGTTCTGTGCATGTTGGTTAAATTTAAATGCAGCTTATGTGCATGCTAGCTCATGTGTTCCATAGTGTCATATCTGTAATATATCTAAAATCAGTATTGCTTTTTGTGGACACTCGATGTTTATTGTAACAAAGAATTTTTGACTTGCGCACCATAATGTCTGATTGACCAATTGTAATTAATTACCACAGAGGTCAATGTTGTTGCTAATACTTATGTCACCTCTAACTGAATTTCTTTTTCTTTATTAAATGAAATATATTTGAGTACAAGGAAATCGTTAGATAAGAATTTATTCATTACTCATTCTAACATATTGTAATTTTTTGTGAGTATCTAAAATTTTTTTTCTGTGTTCCATAACCTATTCTGTTTTTTGCATTCATTACTTATTAATAGTCAAGAAATTACTGGCCTCCAACTATGCAGTTCTACTTGAAATAGACTATGGCAATTGTTTGCTGTTAATGCAAGCTGCTTTATTTCTGCCAATGATCAAAATGCTAATCTCGGCCGTTTAAGAAAACAAATTAAAATTGTAGGTCCTTCAGAAGCATAACAATTAGAATTTTAAAAGCATGCAAATTTCAACCTCGGATTTGAGTTAGTTTACAGCAAACCTCTATGTATGTAGACACACACAGGCCTGGGTCTTGAAGAAAATAAAAGTTCTGATAAATTCCTTGTAAAGCAGAGACATTTCCTATAAATGGATGCCAATCTAAGGTTGGATTTTTGTTTTATTCTGCAATTAAATTGTGTCAAGAGCTAAAATGAGCAAGAAAATATAATGATCCTCCATTGAAATAGTTTTTGATAAACGAGTTTGTCTTGGTCTTTTGTTTTTGTATATTTAGAGTAGATTTCATAATTTGCTAGTACAGCTTTTTGAAAATCTGATGTCTGCTGTAACTTAATGATTTGGATCAAATTTCTAACCATTTTCTTTTCTGGTAGGCTGCATAATCTGATAAATTTTGCTAATAAGGCATGGCAGAATACTCAGCAGAAATAAGTTTTCACCATGCTGCATTGTTGATAAACTGCTGAATGCTAAATTCCTAGCCCATTACTGTCAATTATTACAGAAATGAATTATAAATGCAGATTTATGTTATCATTTCTTTAATATCTGCTATTACAGTTATGTTATAACAGTTATTTAAGTTACTGGGTTTATTCAGATTTTCTAGTTATAACACATTATCTTTTAATTCTGAGACATATACAAAGAGAAAACAGTATGGTTGGATTAAATGAACATAATGTACTCTTTAATTATCTTAAAATAGTTGTCTTATTATAATAGCTTTTCTATGGGATCATCATATTACATTCCATGACGTTTGTAGTATATTACCAGTTTAATAGGATTTGATGATCCTTATTTATCTGTAAATATATAATCTGCATATAAAGTGCACACTTATGTTTGTTATTAAAGCTAACATGTTACTGCATCACATTGATTTTTGGTTTCTGAATTGCATTCATTGAAGCATAAAAGTTGGCATTTAACATATCTTCAAAAAGTGATATGAAAAACTAAATCTCTGCAAATTTCATATTTGAAGCTATATTTGTGATTCATTTCACCATGCCTTCCTCAAAGCAAATGTTTTCAATTTCCTTCTGTTTACCAGGTCTGGAACAAAGGGAATCAGAAGTGAGTATATTTTTATTGTATAAAAGTATGAAGGAGGGCCAAAAAGTAATCTTAATATGTTGATTGAAAAAAGTACTACTATAGGTATGTTATACCTTTCAGTTTGAGGCATAAAATATAAAGCAGACACATAAGTTTGATGGGAAATATAATATTATGAAGAGGATGACAGCAAAGTTAGCTTTCCACTTAGAAACCTGTACTGTGAGGAAAAGTGAGCAGTTATCTGAATTTTGGGCACTGAAGGTGAGAAACCAATAGAACAAAAAGAAACATTAGGGATGCAATATTTATGAATGTTCTTCACTGGGCAAGGAATGAGATAAGAGTCATTGTATCAGTGATTTTACAATCATCAGGAGAAAATGTTTTTTTCCAGAATTGAAGCATTGTGTTTATTCAGTGTCAAATATGGTAAAATATAATTAAGTCTGAATATGCAATCAATTAGTAAAAAATATTAAGATTATTCTTTGACTCTTCCTTGTATTATCTGTAGGTTATTTGTAGTACTTGTTTAATAAAATTTTTAAAGTTTTCTTTTAGCTTGTTGTACATAATAAGATTTGGGGTAAATTATTTAAAGCAGGATTAATGTCATATTTAATTATGTAGATTTTTAAAAAGAAAAAGGAGGCAAACTTAAATTTAGAATCTTCATTGTGCTCAGCTTCCTTTTTAGAAAACAAAATTTTTAATTATTATAATGCATCATATCATAGGATCTCACTGATGATTAATGATTGCAGAATTTTTGATGTCTTTTGCAAATTTTGTTCTGTAAGATTTTCTGCCTTCTTTTTTACATTCAGGTATTGTAGACCAATGGATTCTTTTGTACCTGGTAGCATATTCATAACTAATAGTAGAGCAGCTGGCATAATTTATTTTATCAATGTACATCATTGATAAAATTTTAGGCAACTACATTATGCCCTCAATTTTTAAAATCCAATACATTTGACCCAAAGGCCACATGGATATAACTAATCTTAAAAGAAAAAAAAAGTAAACAGACATTAAGATTAACAGATTAAGTCATATTTTTATTTTGTAATGTTCACCATAAAAATAACAACCGAAAGTAAATGATTTTCTTTTATGTATTTCATTTTTTATGAAAAAAAATTCTCTCAGTGTTCCAGTTCGATGAAGAGAAGGGAATTTCTTTCTGTTCACCAACTTCTGTAAATTTTTATCTATTACATGAAACTTTAGCACATGCAATTTTATTGTGTTAAATAAGAATATTGTAAGTTGAAACATTATCTTATTCAATATTTTCTTTTGCTGAGTGTAATGTAAAACCATGAACTATTCATCTATCATACACTATTGGTTTAATTTCTCTGCATACGTTTCACTATAAAGCTGTGTTCACACTGGTCCGTTGGCATGAAAAAAATCCTTTCTACATAGATCAGTTCACACCAAGGTGGAATGTTTCACTTTTTAAGTTGTCATATGCACACACTCATATTGGCTTTTCATATTGGAAACTTGGAACTCATGAATTTTTTGGCTTTTTACAATTTTATTTTTTAATTAAAATGGGTACAATTTCTTCTAGATTAAAATTTATTTTACTCCTTGCTTTACACAGGAGAAGCAATAAGCAGTGGTTTATATTAATATATGAGACATGATTGACTTTGAGATTTCACTTTCAGAAGGTTTTTCAAACTTACCTTCCATTAATAAGCATCTGTGCTACTCTGAAACTAGCGACAAATTTTTCTGCAAACATTTTTTTAGAAAATACGAGTTCTGTTACAACATCATCCCTGGTGACAATTGATTCCACATTTTTTTTTAGTCTGGAAGCCAAAACCTTATCCATTAGGCAACAAGAACAACCTTAAATTAATGTAGATTTTAAGTAAAATTCAAAATTCAATACTATTTTCTCACAACAGTCTTTTGCTTTAGATTATTGTGTAAAAATTATCAATCATATTTGATTTATGGCTGATAATTAAAGTTTATTATTCTTAATAAACGAGGATTTTCTTTTAAATAATTTATTAAGATACTCTATTAACTTATGCATTTTTAATTATCATCTGAAATTTTTATTAAGATTAGTCCATTAGACTCTTTCCTCAAGAAGAATTTTTGAAAAAATATTCATTAAAAAACTTTGGTATAAACTGGACATTTAAAATGAGATATCTGAAACTGATGCAGCAAGCGGCAAAAACTTTGATTGGAAGTTGAGTCAATATGTGCAGTCTCCAGCTGTCCCGAAAATACTGCCTCTGAGTTTGCTTTTGATTGGTTACCACTTTTCACCTGAATGCGCACGGGTGTGAATTGGCTTTAAATCTTCTATGTCAGTTTTGATAGTGTGATTAATATATTGTACACTATATTACTAATAACTAATTGAATAAATATGACTAGCATATTCAGTCTGTTTTTTAATATAGTTTACACATATAGGTTCAAAACAAGAAATAAAGAATCTTGGACATTCCATTTCATCTATGAAATTAACACGTGATTTTATCTGTTTTTCTCCCTCTTCCTTTTTTTTTTTTTTTTTTTTTTTTTTTTTTTTTTTTTTTGTCACTATATCTTACACTGTTATTATTTCATCTTTGATATGGATCTTTTCTATGTTTTCTTTTTTTGTTTTAAGTAGATATGAATTACTTATAAGAAGCTTATGTTATATGAATAGGCATATGCTATATGTTGCATAAAGCTAAATTTAACAGTGTATCTACTTTTAGTTTTAAGGTTGAAGATTCATTTTAGTTTACATACAGTATTATTTTGTATGTCCTTTTGATAGATTAAAAAATATTTATTTTTTATTGCTTTGGGTATATCGATTTCTTAGCATTATATTTGAAGATTCACTTTAGTAACTTCATATAATTGCCTTCTCAAGAAATGCTTTGGTTGAATCTAGGCTAAGTAAAATATTTTGTGAATAATGTAAGAGAGTTTGTGCTAGATTGAAAATATACAATTTGGTACAAATTATGGACATCTTTTATGCAAATATTGCACAGGGTATATCTGTATCTATCTATGAATATGTGTGTGAGATATAAAATATGAAAGAAAGCTACTTATTTCAGCAATACTTCTCCCTGTCTGAAAACTATGAAGCTAAATTGCATCATCTGAAAATTAATCTACATTATATCATCTTATTTACTGCAGTGCTGTTAGCTCTTGTCCAATCCCTGTTCAAAATTGAAACAAAGGCATGAATTTTATAAATACAGCTGCTGAAATGTGCAGTTGCTTTGCTTGCACATGTTGTCTGCTTCTCTTATGTCACCCATTGTTTTAAAGATGTGATAAGTTGCATAAAACTGCAGGGTATTTTTCTCATCCAAAATGGTGTGTAATTGAAAATATGTATCCTAAAAAATTATTCATCAAGAAATAAAAATATATGGTGAATCTACAGCCATCTTTGGTCTCCTGTTTTCATCCTTCTGTTATGCATTTCATCTGTATGCTGGCAACTTTTTTTAATCTTCTCAGCCATGACTAGAAAATGACTGGTGTCTTCTCTCCTGCATGTTCTAAAATATTATATAGAAATTACTGATATCACATAGAAAATACTACATGCACTTTTATTATTTTCAGAACATATATTTTACAGAGTGTCACAGCTACACTATATCTTAGATTGATTTAACTGTATATGTCACATATGTATATGATCATTTTCAAAACATATATTTTACAAAGTGCCATAGCTTTAATATATCTTTGTTTTAACTGTATATGCAGTGTATGTACATGATTATTCTTTCTTCTTTTATTTGTATAATTATATCCATCTTCTGTATTATGTAAATTTATTTATTACAGATGTTAATATTAAATATGCCCCTATCTACATTATTTTGATTTAATGTAATAACTTATTTTTCAGGCTATTTTTTGAAAATCAAATAATAATTCTGAAATAAAGCATATTTGCTGTGGGATAGATAAACAATTTTTCTTTTGTTGGAAGCTGCACACCTAATTAATAACATAACTACTCATAATACACTTGAATACTTCAGTAAGTTAATGTGTTAGTGAGTCAAAGAAGTACTGAAATCATTGCAGGGGTATATGAATGCAGGCAATGCTGATTAAATAAAGTATTTTTTTGGGGGGGGCAGAGGGTCACTGAAAGGCATTTAGTAAGCTTTGAGTTGCAATTCATAAGTACTCAGCAATGTTTTAATCTTTTAAGCATGGAGAGAGGGGCAGTAAAGTACCTGCAGGTTTGCAAAATGTTCATTCTATGCCCTTACCTCCTGCACGGTGTGATATTGCATTATCCTTCTGGTAGAAACCATTATCACCTTTGTATTCACAAAAGGGTACTTATGGTTTGCAATGAGATCTACACATCATTCCCTGTAGAAGAATCTAGTCATAGTCACTCTGTCGACCAACAAGCCATCATTAATTACCTTATTGACAGGACAGGTTCATAGACATGATTGCAGATTCGTTTTCTGGAAACAGATTAAAATACAATTTATTTGACAGGCTACTTCATGCTAGTCAACCATTGATAATTATTTCAATTTGGTAATGGTTTAATGCTTTTCTTTGGCCTATGTAAGGTGCATTATCCATATCATTGTATTAGTAATGATACCTGTATCAAACATTAATTTACCAAACCATATGGGTATGTATGTTGGCCTGAGTGACACCAAATGATACCTGAGATATTGAGATTGATGGAATCATTTCCCTTTCCTGGGTGATTACCATTCTTTCGAGATGATGGCAATCCAGTTCCTGCACTGCTTTTGTATGTCCACTGTTTTTAAATGTCTGATAGCAATTTATTCCCTCTATGATTTCCTAATTTTGTCTCTAAAAAGAGAACAGCATTTGCCATCTCTGAGATGAGACTTCTTATCGTTTTCAGCCTTGTGATCTGTATGAAATCTACTGCTCGCAAATCATGCATTCATGTTAAGTTATTAATTCATTTTCTTAATTTTTTTCCTTTTGAATAATTTACATACTAAGTTCCCAATTTTCAAATTATGACCACACATGCAGTTTTTAGGCAGAATTAGATAAGAATAAAGTGAAAAATATGCACTAGAAGAATATGTATTGGTGTTATAGACCTAAATTATTTTTGAGAAAGAATGAAATGTCATTTTTATTTCTTCATATTCAATTTGTTGTTCGAATTTCTTTTTGCTGATAGTAAGTATGTGTACAGTTCAAACTGATATGCATTTTCCCCTTTCAAAATTTTTATAAAATATATTTTGAAAAGGAATAAGTATCACCACATAGTTAAATTTGAAATATGTAATAAACTTTTTATAAAATTTATTGCTTATCATCAATGTTATCAATCACTTCACATCTCATAAAATCTTTTAATAACTAAATGCAGTTTCAGCATATAAAAATATTGTAATTAATTTTAGCAGACTTCATGTCATTGCAAATGTGCATGTGAATTTAGGAATCCATTATAATTTACCCCCCCCCCCCCCCCCCCCCAAAAAAAAAAAATCTTTCAGTCAGCACAGATAATTTTTTAGATATTTTCCTATCTCATAAATTAACTTGAATTGGAGGGAGACCTTTAGATTTCATGCTGACTGAAGGGATAAAAAATGTATATACAGTTTTTTTTATATGAAAAAAAGTAATTTTCCTATAATTGTTATAGGATTCCAAAGATATGTTTGAAGCAGCTACTTCTTTAATCAACTTATCATCTAGTTATACCCTATCTAACAGTAAGTTGTTTTGCTATTATTAAATGTAAAATTATATTATATTTTGATGTATATCGTAATCTGATACACAGATGAGATCTTGCAAGGTGAAACCTGCACTGACTATAAGATTCCCTACAATGTTGAACTGCATGCTACAAAATGAGCATGGAGTTAAATTTGATTTACTTTTTATTTTAATACTGTGTAAGTTAATGGTTTGTGCATAAACATAGAAACAGTGAAGAGGGAAGAGATCACAAAGGATGTATATTTTTTGGAACTGGGAAGCACTTCATGCAATCCGTCAAGAGAACAATGCAATCCGTCAAGGCCACACTATGTTATTTGCACTTCATGGAAGTGGAGACTGAGGACTGTCTGTATAATTATTAAAATGAAAATTTATTTAATTAGAAGTAGGAGAGATCCAGATCATAGTCAAATCCTAGCATCTCAACAAGCTGTGAGGAATAGAACAGCAAACATATTCAATGACAATGACATGTATTAATTCAGTAACACCTTTAAAAAAAGGGAGACTATTTCGACAGTTTCTTAAAAGCTTGACTTTCTTTAAATGGCAGATCTTAAAGACAGTTGAGCCTTTTGCTTCCATAGGAAGAATGACTAAACTAAAAAACTATGGGCCTTTATACATTTATGCTTTTGTATAGTTTCATGACTTCTAAATAAATTTATCCTAGCATTTCTAATACTGATATTTTTTAATATTCTTTGGAGTTTATTATGACATTTTGTGATCATGCTTGGGAATAGATTATCTCTGGTAAACAGTATTCCTTTTAATGAATGACATCATGAAGTGGAATATATTTGTGATGTAAGGTACCACTGTATTAATTTTTAAGTTCATATGTGGAATGCAATTTTACAGAGAGTAAAGCAAATTTTCTTTAACAGCGCTGAATTTTATTTATTTATTTTTAAAGTACAGATAAACTTTGACAGTACATCCTCTCATGATTAAATAAAGTAACTCTTAAGTAGTCTGACTTGTTATATAAAGAAATAAATATAGTAGTATTTCAGATTTTTTAATTAATTTAAGCAAAAACATTTTTACATATAATTTTATTTTAACACAACTGTAAATTGAATTTAGTTGCATTAGTAAAAGGTATATAGATTCTTTAAGCTTGGAATACTAATACTGGCTGTTAAGATGAATCTTTTCTTCCTTCCTTCCTGGCCAGGAATTTCTGAACCCAGATGAGGTGTATGACCATTTATCAGAGACCTCAAATTTTTCAGAGCAGCTTTTGTAAAGGGAATATTGCACAGTCCTAATGTTCATATTTGTGAAGGCTCCAGCATAGACTTCTACTGGAACCTGAGGCAACATGTCTATTTTGCATAATAATTTTTGCCATCCAGTGCTGGGTATATGTATGCCTAGTCTTTTTATGCCCATACAGATGTCATTAGTTTGACAGGGTTGCCACGCTACCTGGAAAACCGGAAAAAGTCAGGGAATTCAGAAATTGACCAAAAAATTCAGGGAAAAGTCAGGTAATTTAAGTGTTTTAGTCAAAATCTGGAAAAGTCAGGGAATTTCATACAACGATCCCGCCAAAAAAAGGCAAGTTTTGCGCCGACGTCGGAAGAGATCACTTTTTTGGCAAATTGTGTATCACGTGAGTGTCATTCGGGCAGCTGGCATAGAGCCAATTTTCGCAGCTCCAATTTGATTGTCTCTTAGAAAGGCAAATCAAGTTTCCCGCAACTTTTGGTTTCCAGTAACCTCGAGAATCGCATGTGCAGTGCATGAACTAAAGAAAGTACCTGTTCTCGTATAAAACAAAATGGGTTTAATCCTAGTATATGGTACCATGAAGGATAGAATCAAAAAATATGTATTGTAAAGAATGAAAACCTCTCTGCAACAGACGAGGCTCCGTTCCATCATAGAGGGGAAACAGCTGTGCATGCGCGATATATCTGTCGCCAAAGCTCGAAACTGGTGTAGAAGTTCGAAGGTCACGTTATCAAGAGTTCATAAAATGAATATCATTTAAAATTTCTTTAAACTCTAAAGGAAATGAAAATATTTTTTGGCGCAAGTAAATTAATTCATGGATTAGTTATTTTGAGGGAAAAAAACAAAAAAACTACGAAAATCCGTTTTTAAAATTATTGCGAAAAATCCAAGAAAAAATGTTCTTTGATAAAACGTTTCTTCTTGGATTTTTCGCAATAATTTAAAAACGGATTTTTGTAGTTTTCTTTTTTGTCAAAGAATGTTTCTTCTTAACACGTGTTTCTCAATTTCCTGTACACATCGCGGAGAGGGAAATTCTGGCTGCCAGGTTCCGTCGCGAAATCCCTTGGAAAATTTTCCCTCCGCTTTCTAGCCGTGTAATAGCATTTACGTGTATGGAACCTTTTCTTTTTTACATAGTCGTTCTGTGGTTAGAATAATCTCCATGTATGGTACAGCGGGATTTGGCGACTTGATGATGGGCAGTAAATGAGTCATTTTGTTCTGGGTGACAATTTTCAAAATCGTGAAGGCCGTACCGTATACTAGGATTTTACCGCAAAATTTTTTTTTTTTTCTTTTCATTTTAATAAACACCTTGTCATTTTGCAGTAAACTATAAAAAAAAAGTAATCAGTCATCTAGGCTAACCATGTAATATAACTATATTCGCTAAAATATCGTTGATTGTTCTAATTCAATTTTTAAGTAATTATCTTTATTTTTATGTTATTCATATCATTTAATGTTGCTTCTTCCCTCTAAATTTATTTATCATTAGTAAATAATATTTCCGAATTTCAGGAAATTTTCTCTGGCATAATCCCGAAATTAATTCTAGCAGTACGGATGACATCACGGAATTTAATGCACATATTTTTTCCTTATGTATGCTGCGAAAATAAATATAAAATATCTCAATTAGTAAAAAAATATCATTAAATAGATTTCTTTCTTTCATTTAGCGCAGAATGTCTGCAAAAAAAGCCTTATTTTATTCCAGATTGGGGAGATTCTAATCTCAATCTTCAGTGGAGAAAAAACTCCTATTATAATTATATTTGTGTTTTCAAGTGCTAAGGTGCCTTTTAAGAAGACACGTCACACAAATTAAATTTACTTAAAAATCTAACCTAACTTTTAGCATTGCGTTGTGATTTATAAGAACCGGATTAGCCTCACGTTGAACTGGTGATGATCACGAGTAATAATTAAATAAAACGTACAATTGTTATCCAATGTATATATCTTAAATTTTATTAAGTTTCTTAAGTGGAAAAGTAAACAAAATTATCAAACAAAGTGTACCAAGATTAATTAAGAATAAATGTCCTCTGGGATTTATTGAATAATTAAGTGAATTTGCTACACAGTACAAGTAATACCATAATTAATTTACCTCTTAGCACAGCCAACGTACATTACGCGGATAGACTGGAATTTTCTCGAAACATACCTGGAAAAGTCAGGGAATTTCATTCTCCTGTTTGAGGGGCAACCCTGGTTTGAGATTTTATAAAAACTTTTGCAATTCACTCTACACCTTCAAAATGGTCATGCTAGCCTAATATCATGTTTACAGAACAAAACATAATCTATAAACATTGACCTAAAGTCAAAATTTCAGCTGAACTTCTGAAATGTTATAATTAATTTCATGAGCTACAAACATTAAACTGCATTGAAAATTGTGTAGTTATGATAATTTGCCATTCCCAAAGCAAAAATAACTCTAAAAGCTTCCATAGATGATCTGTCACTTTTTACATTGTACTGGTAGATATAACTAATGATGTAGATTTGTGGCCTTATGTATTCTGCATGCAGCACTTTTTCTGGCACTTCAATGTAATGAATGAATTTGATTGTGAATGATATAGTGGCAAAACTTTACCTTAAGTTCTTGCAGTATATAAAGTATATTATCCTAAGGTGTATTTTGCTCTAACATTACAAAAAAGGTGAAAATTATATTACATTGGGCATATTTGATTCTAATATCTTTATGCATGAATATAAATAATTTGTAAAAATATTTATTTCCGTGTGTGTGTATATATATATATATATACACACACATTGGCACACAGATATATATATATATATATATATATAATATCTGTGTGCCAATGTTGTCAAACGTAGACTTATAGAATCATCAGAGTATAAGTTTTTGAATAGGACTCTTGTTCTCTGTAAAATAATTCCGAATTACATACAAGCTTTGAATGTAAAGAACTATTCTGGGGTACTGAATATATTGTGAAAAAATGCACTAGGTTGCATTCGTTATGATCAGTGATATTATTTATTACATTTATTATGAACAATGATAGGAAAAATTATATTTACTACATGAAATCAACTTGTGGTATTTTGAGTTCAAATATATATTAAATATTAAAAAGAAGGAAGAGAGAAATCCTAGTAAATTAAACATATAAAAATGCACTTTTATTTTATGAAATTATTTATGTTTATAAATTATATTTTATCATATAAATTTAAAATTAGGTAAAGCAACATGTTGGCATATATTTTAATCAAGCATAAGGCTGTTGCTTTGCCTAATTTTTCATGTTACACTGTGGTATGTTCCTTTTCTCTTATATTTTATTGATTTATTTTCACATAAAAAATTCCATCTTTATACATTTTAACTTATAAATTTACATGACTCACATGATGAATTACTGAAAAATATATTTTTCTGGTACTAATTGTTATGATATAATTTTAACATTGTTTTTTTAGACATACCTTGAACTATGTCATATATCTGGAGCAAGAATGGAAACAATTGAAGATTCATCACAATTCAGTTTGCAAGGAAATTACAGAGAAACTACATGATCTCAAAAGTCTAAACACATATGTAATAATTTCCTATGTTAAGATTACATTTTATTTAATAAATACAAAAAGAAAAAACTGTTTTCATTTTACTTTGGACTGTATCTGTAAGACAATATATTAGAACCACTAAATATTTTTAAAAAAATGACATGTTTTGGAAAAAACTTAATTGTTAGAAGTACACTGAAGCATGCACACATTTTTAGGAATTGTAAGAGTATTTATTTTTTTTTGATTAGATTTAAATATTAAAATCATACTGTAATTTATGATACTTTAATTTTATTTTTGTGAGCTATGTTTTTAGTTTATTAGAGTTAATGAATATTATTTTTACTCGACTGTTTGATTTGATCATAAAAACAAACTTATTTTTACTTTTAGAACTCTCTGAAATATATTGTTGTTTCTAAAAAAAAGAAAGAATAGATGTTGTGATGTTAGCTTATTTCTCTCTCGCATGATTCTCAAATAAAAAATTTTCTACTAAGAATAAGAAACCTTTATCAAATTTCCTACTAAAGATTCAAGAAACAGTTAAACTGCAATATTTAAAAAACTAGTGTAGAAATGCATACTTTAATAATGCTATTGGTTTCTGATTTACAATAATATCTGCTTACTGATGTGTTTTGGAAAAGATTTAGTATCATCCAGGATAGTTGTTATTAATCACAGAGTCTCAGCAAAAATTATCAGTAGTAACAAAGTATCTGTATCTGGATCATACAAAACATGACATTATAACAAAAAATAAAAATGTTATGCTGTACATTATATGCAATCAACTAGTTAACCGGGCCTTGTTAAGGAGGGAAAAATGCTTATCTTGAAACAATGGAAAATTAGTATTACAAGCCATTAGCATGGCACAAAACTATCAACTGAAAACACAAACGGGGAACGAAAAACATGTGACAAATGTTGCAGTATTTGGGAGTTTTTATTTACAATAATACATAATTTACTTGTATTTAACATGGAAATATATAAATATTGTATAAGAAATACTGATATTTTTACATAAATTTACCATGCAAGTTCTGCATTGTTCATAAATCTGTATTGTTTGTTTACAACTTATTTTCTTCATTTCTAATCATGTTTATTTTTCGATTAGCAGTACCTTCTCTTTGCTTTAAGGCCTACCAGCTGCTGAGCCCTGGTAGTTTAACCTGGGCTGGCTGCATGGGCATTTTCCAGGTTTTTCCCTTGTGTAACACAGATACAAGCCAGCTCCTCTCACAAAGTCTTCCACGAAAACATACCTCCCATCAGACAGATAGCCATAGCGTGCTTTGCCATAATCATATAAACAAAACCTTTTTGCTTCGAATTTAACTACATGAGTAACTGTAGATTAAACTATTTCAAATTGCAGATAAATTTTTAATAGTATTTCTCTGTCTTCTGTTTTTTTAACTGCCTTTGGATTAAGTGTGATTTTGAGTTAACAGTGTGTGTTGTGATATCTCTGGTATCACCACAATAAGGTGAAAGTTCACTGAAGTGAAGGTTAGGTTACACAATTTTGGAAAGTATATTCTAAAACTGTATGCATATAATTTACAACTTTTTACTTTTTTAAATAAAGGAAGCACATATATATATCTTAAAATATGTCCAAGAAATTATGGCACTATATTAAAAGTATGTAAAATCCAGATATAAAGCACCAGGGATATTTTGGCACTAAAATCAAATACCTTTTTCTTGTGGTATTGGGAAATCTGGGCTTTCTGAACCAAACGCTGTGGCTAGAGAGTTATTTATTACGTGGAATACTTAAAGCATTTATAGAAGCTATTTCTCTCCCCCAAAAAACCTAGTCTTATCAAATAACATGTAATGCAATTTAGTTTAAATATCATGCTGAATAACAATCAAAAACAAAGTCTAACATTAAGAATCAGCGTAAATTTGTAAAAATTTTTGCAGTACTAGTTTCGATAGTTTTTGAACTACCTTCTTCAGCTGCTAAGTGCAAATGAACCAAATAAAGGGTGAAGAAAGATAAGATAAGGATAGAGATAAGTTAAGAAATGTTGAACAGAGGTTAAGCTACCAGCACCATCTATTGACGAAACAAGAAAAACTAAAACAAAATTTCTTTAAAGGCTGAAGGTAAAGATGGATTGCAATTGGGGTCATTAACTAGAACAGAAATGTTTTTTTGGATGTGAAATGCTTCTAAAAAATCTAATTCATCAATGGAGGATATTTTTTGAATAATTTTGGCTGCAGAAAAAGGGAAAGTGTGATTTTCATTCCAAAAATGCTGAGCAACAGTGGATTTCTGTAGGCTCTTCTAGTTTGACTAATGTAAATTAAACCACATTGGCAAGGAATCCTGTAAATACCCCATGAATTCATATCCGGAATGGAGTCCTTAAGCATGGAACTAGGAATTTTATTCATAGGAGAGGAAAACAACCCGTAAGTTAAATTTCTGCAAAATACGTGCAATTTTATAGCTAATTGATGGAAAGAAAGGAATGACAACAGAATTCTTATAATCACCTAAAACAGGATTGTACCTTTTGATGTGTACCGATGAGAATTTTTTTAACTGCACGGTTAATTATCTTGCGTGAAAAGCCCCTGTCAATAGCAAATGCTTTTAAGTAATTTAGTTCTTGATCAAGAGCTAATTTGGAGGAGCGAACTGCACGGAAAACAAAGAAAGAAAAAATGAAGCTAACTTCTGTTTCATCGGATGACATGATTTGAAGTGTGGTGGAAGGCAAACCGATGAAAGTTTATGGTTAAACTTTCATCGGTTTGCGATAAGTCAGATATGTTACATGTGACCAAAATGTCGAGGAACGGAAGAGAATTGGATGTCTCAAGTTCAAAAGTGAACTGAATAGCAGGATCAATGGAATTCATTATTGAAAGAACATTATTTAAATCATTTTCATTACCATCAAACAGGGTAAATGTATCGTCTACGTAGCAGAACCAAACTGGGAAGTTTAACGTTTCAAATAATTTAGATTCAAAACAATGCTATCAGCAAGAATTGGACTAAGAGGGCTTCCCATGCCTAATCCCTCAGTTTGCTTATAATACTTATTTTGGAAAGCAAAATGTGTTTGTTTCAAACAGAGGTGAGTAAGTGAAATTAGATCATTAATTTCGATGCAGAAGAAATGAAATTCACGTAGTTTTTAGACATCTTAATGCACCTTCCACTGGAACATTAGTAAATAATGATTTAACATCAAAAGAAACCATGAGGAAATTTTGGGGAGAAATACTTTTAACTTTTTTTTACAAACTCTATTGAATTTTTTATGGTGTAAATGTCCAATAAAGTTGAAAATCTAGAAACTAAATACTTAGCTAACAGATAAGAAGCAGTGCCTAAATTTGATACAATAGGGTGGAAAGGAATACTACTTTTATGAATTTTGGGAAGTGCATATAATCCGGTACAATTCGCAACAGATGAGATAAGCGATCATTTTAAGTGGGTCAGAAGGATTTGTGAAGATTTGATGGCAGTTTTATTTTTAAGAGGTCTGAAGGTAAAGGGTCTTTCAGGATCAGAATATATGGTCCTTCATTTAAGAGTTTAGTGACACCATCAGTGTAAATGTTTTTGTTCATGACGACTATTTTTATGAATTTTATATTATATGAATTATTTATATTTTATGAATACTACTTTTATGAATTTTGGGAAGTGCATATAATCCGGTACAATTCGCAACAGATGAGATAAGCGATCATTTTAAGTGGGTCAGAAGGATTTGTGAAGATTTGATGGCAGTTTCATTTTTGAGAGGTCTGAAGGTAAAGGGTCTTTCAGGATCAGAATATATGGTCCTTCATTTAAGAGTTTAGTGACACCATCAATGTAAGTGTTTTTGTTCATGACGACTATCTGGCCACCTTTGTCAGCCTCTGAAATGATAATATTTGGGTTTGTAGAGTTTCACATTATGGGCCACGAGATGCTTATCATTTCTTTCTGTGTGTCTGAAACTTTACTGAATTTGAAAGCTTTTTCGATAGGAGCCACAATATTTGAAATCTAGGGTTTTGAAGTTTGTGAGAAGTTAAAATTATACTTCAGAATTTGCTCTTGTTCTTCTGTTAAACTAACACTACAAATATTAACTATTGATTTATTTACAATGGGAAAATTCTTTGAGCTACTTAAATTGGAAGACTGGGAAAGATTTTAGAATTTAAATGCAAGTGTATTCTTATGATGGTTAACTACATTCTCAGTTCTAAACCAGGATTTATGTTCGATAGCAGTGAATTTTGGATATGAATTAGGAAGTTCCAAATGAAGCTTATATAGCTCAAGTTCATTTTTGGATAACTGTTGACATGTACTTCTTATAATGGACTGAAGCAAGGCTAGTAACATTTCTGTTCTAGTTACCCCAATTGCAATCCCCCTTTACCTTCAGCCTTTAAAGAAATTTTGTTTTAGTTTTTCTTGTTTCAGATGGCGCCAGTAGCTTAACTTCTGTCCAACTTTTCTTAACTTATCTCTACCCTTTATTTGGTTCATTTGCAATTAGCAGCTGAAGTAGGTAGTTAAAAAAGCTATCAAAACTAGTACTGCAAAAATTTTTACAAATTTACGCTGATTCTTAATTGATTGATAACATGTAATGCCTAAATCAATAAATGCAAGCTAACCACACAATTTGTACAAACAAATAACATATGTGTAAATATATAAATGAATAAAATAATGAATGCACAGTATAGCTTTGCTTAATCAGAACAAAGAAATTGAGAAATGAAAGTGGTCTCTAATACTAGACCATCAAAGATAGGTTGTTAAGAGGTGTAACAGGTACAGCACACTTTCATGAGAATTTATTTGGCAGTCAGGTCACTAATATCTATACCTTCTACAGTAGTCTGACTTAATGATAAATGCTGATGTTCATTGTCTACTGTAGACAGTTTGAAGAATCATTGTAGTGTTAATTAGAAGATTTAAAGTATTGCAACATATGCATAAAATCATGTATTTTTTTTAGCATATAGTATTCTACCCCCCCCTAATAAAACAAATATACACCCTCAAATCATCTTGTAAATTTATTCTTAACATATCAGCTTTTTCAGTTAAATGCTGAATGCTATGTTTGCTTTTTAATGAAAGTAAAATTACTCTTCATTTTCATTTTTGTGAGCAAAAACAAATATAAAGGTTTGGTTTATTTGATTACGACAAAGCATGTAAGGGCTATCTGCCTAAGAAAAGGGATGCCTTCATGGAGGACTTTCTAAAGAAAACTCACTCATATACACAACAATTGTACAGACTCCAGCCTTTTAGGAGAGTTATCAGTTATACTTAACTGCTTTATGATCACAAAACATGAGCATTCCTGAGATTGGAGGGAAATAATTCAGTAACATAAGCCGGATATTATACAGTCAAAAGTCGTTAATTAGGACACCCATAATTCGGAATGATCTATAATCCGGACCTCAAAACTAAAAACTTTCTGCGCATGCGCCGCGTTGACACATGCGCATAGGCATTTACGTGTGCGCGTAAGACCTTTTACGACTGCGCATATGAGTGTGCGCAAGTGCAGAATACGTTTTCGCGTGCGCGTTTTATGTATAATGGACGTATAAGCTAAAATTATCTAATTATCTATTTCAGTTAATGTTGATGATTGCCTTGTTCCTTAATTTTCGAATTGGATCCGGCTTATTATTTTTTGCAGACTGTAAGAGCAATTTTATAAAAGTAAGCTTAAACTTTCGATTATATCAAATAGAATTTCCGATATATATTTGTTAACATGTAAAGGATCTAAAGCGAAAGTATGTTTTGAAATCCGAAATCTGTTTATCAATTTCAGGCTGCTCGGCGGGGGGAACGCCGCGCGTAATGAATTGGAAGTTGATTTGTCAGCACTATCCTTATCTTGCGCAGATATTTTTATTTGGCTTATAATTCCTTACCCAATGTAGTATTTCATCTCGATATGTTCCGTCTTTGATATGATTTAAAACAAGTTCCTCGTCATTATAATTCGCTTCCGATAGCGAAGAAAAGTAACAGAGGTTGTTGAAAACGAAAAAATTTCGATTGACTAATTAGTTGGTGTTCTTGACACAGCAATTATACGACTTGAACAGCGGAACTTTGTAACTGAACAAGAAATTATGTCTGTTTAATAGAATTAAAGAGAAAGTATTATCACATGAAACAAAGCAAAACTTAAAACAACTTACATTGAAAGAAATGTTTAATAAAGTAAACAAATAAATATTAAGCTTTTTCTTTTTGCAAATTTGATACCCTTCGATCATAATTGTTCTTTATTTCATAAATTACGGTTTCATATTTTTAATTTTAGAATTTCTGCATGCCATCTTACGAGATTTAAACTGATGATCTATAATCCGGAATCGCCGAAGTCCCGACGAGTCCGGATTAACGACTTTTGACTGTATCACATAAAAGCCATAGTTATAAATTTGCACAAGAAACGGTAACGCAAAAAATACTATAAAGGTATCCTTCTTCATGTTATTGTCCCTTATTTCATAAGATTCTCCCTTCTCTCACACAAAGCTGAATATACTTTCATTAGTAGAATACAAAGTCCGTAATCCGACGTCCATTATCCGGAATAACCTATAATCCGGACCTCAAAGCCACAGATTTTTTTTTTTTTTATGCTTTACACATGTGCGTTTAAAAAATGGACAATATAAGCTAGGCTAAAATTACCTGATTCTAAGGCATTTCAGTTAATGTTGCAGATTGTGCTGTTCCTTAATTTTCTGATTGGATCCGGCTTATAATTTTTTTGCATAGAGCAAATTTATAAAAATTAAGCTTGAACTTTTGATTATGTCAAAAAGAGTTTCCAATTCTGGAGCTGTCGAAGGATCTACAAAGCGAAAGTATGTTTCGATGTCCATCAAACAAAAAGTGGAATTGCTGCAAAAAATGGATAAAGGCATATCCGTCTCAAAATTATGCGAGGAGTATGACATTGTAAAGTCAACTGTAAATGAGATAAGCAAACAGAAAAAGGAACTTTTTGAATTTTTTGTGGATTCCGACACTTTACTTGCGATGAATGAATTACAGAAAAAAGGTTCGTTATGACACAGTGATGACTGAATGAGTCAGACAACTTTGCAGCGAGGGCGTGCCATTGACGAGTCCAATGCTAATGGCTCAAGACAAATATTTCATGAAGAAATAAACTTATTCATGAACACTGAGTGCACATTATTCAACAGGTTGGTTAACCAAATTTAAAAATCGCCATGGTATAAGACAAAAATTTCAGGTGAAAAAGCAGCTACGAAGCTGCTGAACAATTTGCAGATGAATTCATTGAACTCATTACTAGTGAACAATTATCTCCAGAACAAATTTACAATGCTGATAAAACTGGTCTTTTCTGGCAATATATACCGCGAAATACCTTGGCAACCTCTACAGAAAAGGGTCCAACTGGTGTCAAATATTCCAAAGCGAGACTAACAATTTTAGCGTGTGCAAATGCTGCAGGAATGCACAAGAGCAAACTTTTTGTAATCGGAAAACATGCACGACCTCGAGCATTTAAAGGAGTAATGATTTCCCCCGTTATATATCGCGTAAATAACAAAGCCACAAGCGTTGTTGAATGATTGGTTTGAAAATCACTTTATACCTGAGGCTCGGCGACATTTGAATTCGTTTGGTTTACCTGATGACTCAAAAATAGTCCTGACTGTTGACAACTGTTTGGCACATACTTCACTTAAAGTTTTAGGGAAAGATAATGTATCCATATTATTCTTCCCTCCAAATTGAACATCTATCATTCAGCCTACGGATATGGGAATAGTGCATGCGCTGAAATGCAAACATAAAGTAGCATTTTTAAAATCTATGTTAAATTTCTTGAACAATGGCAAGACTATTCAAGACTTTTTGAAATTTTTTAGCATAAAATCTGCTTGCGTGGAGCATCACAAGATCGTAGGAAGGATGCAGTTCCCCAGATACGTTAAAAAATGCTTGGCATAATTTATGGCCAGCTACCATATTTCATGGTGAAGGGTGATGAAGATGATAGCCGCAAATTTGAAGGTTTTCGGACATCGCACACTAAAGTTGAAATTTTCCAGTTATTGGATTTTGTAAAGAAATGTGGAAAAGTGGTAATAAATGAAGATGATATAACAGAAGTTTTTCATTGCGCCATAGTATCTGTAGTATGGTTCTAGATCCAGAAAATATCGCTTCCGATAGTGACAGAGAGGTTATTGAAAACGAAAAAATTTTGATTGACCAGTTATTCGGTATTCTCGACACAGCAATTACAGGACTTGAACAATGGAACTCTGTAACTGAACAAGAAATTATGTCTGTTTATAGAATTAACCCTTTCCTGTCTGCGAAAATTTCCCCCCAGCGGCCGTCTGTTTTTCATAGCGTGTAATGTTGTTTTTTCTGTACATCATAACTTTCCATACATGACTTTCTTAGTGGATGGATGTCAATGAATATTAAGTAAAATTATAAGGAAATAAAGCATAATGGAAAATAATAATATCTCTGCTTATTTCTAACAGCAGGATAATTTGATAACATCTGATCCAGGCGGTCCACGCCTCCCATTTTGTTGTTGTAATCTTTCACAATTATTGTTTTTTTTTACAGTTCTTTTCCATGTTCCAACATCAATCATCAAACGTATATCCTTCTTGTCTTTCCAATTCACAACTTCACTTTTTCTCTTTTTCTGCTGAGTAGACATTGAAGCCATCTCTCACTGTCTTGTATCTTATGTAAAATGGCACGAATATTCATAAAACCCAGGGCAAATTCAATTAGAAATAGAATGCTTGATTAGTGCTACCCTTTAGGAGGTATTAGAACAAACAAAAATAAAAACTCAAACAAGTAAACATTTAGAAAGTGTTACAATTTTACAGAATTGATACCATAACCTTAATTACTATCCAAAGCTAATGCAATCAGTGAATGTGAAATATTTGATACAATGTAGAAATTTCCAAGCACTTAACCACAGAGGTTACTTTAATCCATCTGCATACAGTGTTGTTTGGCCATGGCACAATTAGGAAACCTGATAAACAAAAATATATGGTCAGCATATGCAAAGGAATATCATGTTCCAAAAAAATTATATGAATAAAAAACTCTATACCTATAAAGAATTATGACTTTTTTTTTAAAAATGATCTGCCTTCAGTAGATTTTTTTTCATGTCTGGTATTATCAGATTTTACATGCTGCTGGCAGTTGTCATGATATCTATGACTAAAAAAGTCACTATTGCACACAGAAAATACAACACATAATTTTCTGAAAATTCTAAAGCACATAAACATAGTCACACTTCACTGTATTTCTGAAGAACTTTTTCTTTCCTTCAAAGCAACATACTAAGTATTATTTACCATAGAAATTCAAATCAGGATATACACACATGTGTTTAACAGCTTCAACAGGCCTGACATAGCTCACACAGCACAGTTAACATGATGTCAGCATAACTTAAGCATAACTTACGGAGGTCAATGTGATATACTGATTGTGACATCAGTATATCACATTGTATACATCAGTATAATTACTTAATCATAGGTAATTATACTGATATATATACGAATATTATGAATGATCAGCACCTATGATTATACTGATATATATATCAGTATAATCAGAAAATTATGTGTTGTATTTCCAAGCACTTAACCACAGAGGTTACTTTAATCCATCTGCATACAGTGTTGTTTGGCCATGGCACAATTAGGAAACATTGATAAAAACAAAGAATTCATATGGTCAGCATATGCAAATGGAATATCATGTTCCAAAAAAATTATATGAATAAAACTCTATACCTATAAAAGAATTATGACTTTTTTTTATAAAAATGATGATTGACTGCCTTTCAGTAGATTTTATTTTCATGTAGTCTTGGTAATTATCAGATTTTACATGCTGCTGGCAGTTGTCATGATATCTATGACTAAAAAAGTCAGCACCTATGATTATACTGATATATATATCAGTATAATCATAGGTGCTGATCATTCATAATATTCACTCACACAGAGCAGTTCAGCAGTTCAAACTTGGCATTGTCTCTAGTAATTTTTGTCATATCTGTAATTCTATAACAATTGCAGAAATTGGTAATTATTACGGAAAATTTCTAATAGTTAGTATCTCTGCAAATACTAATCTAGGTCTTTTGTAAAACAAAGTGACATAAGGATAACTCTGTCGCAATATATACAGTACAAATTTAAAGAGATACTGCATGGATCTTTTCTTTGTATATTAGTTTTTTGAGGGGGGTATGAGAATGAGTCCATAAAAATTTTAATGTAATGCTGGTCAAAAGCATAGAAATTGTTCCACCTTTAGTTCTGGATTTTTCTTCTTTTAAACATATTCAAATATATGCAAAAATTGAATAGCACAAAATTTCAGTGAGCAGAGTAATGTGCAATTAATTCAAAAAAGACTAAACAATTTAAAGGCAATAAATGCAATTTTTATTAATTTAAATTTATTTCTTAATAATATGTCTCACTGATGCAATGTAGAATACATCTTCATGAATATCTGCATTACTCTTAATTAATAAAAGATATTTATTATATAGTCTATTATAGCTTATTTAAGTTATATCTTATGTACCTGGTACAGAATTTAAATATCACACTTTGGCTAGAAATATTATTTGCTGGATTCAGAGGCCACAATTTAAAAATATTTGGGAAACCAATCAAGTTGACTAATATCTTTAATAAAATGTCTTATGTAATTTTCATTGTTACTAAAAAAAAGAATATTTAAATCTCTTGTACCTTTCAAATAAACAGTTGATCTTCATAAGCCAAGGAATCCAGAAAACTATTCCCTCTTAGAAAAAGAATATTTGGGCTCAATTTAACATTTACCTGAAGTCAGAAATATATTATGATACATTTAAAGGAACATGCACACACACACAACAATATTAAATGTCATTATGTATACACAAATAGTAAAAAATACAGAAATTATTTCAGGAAGATACAGAACTGCAAGCAGTTTTCTCTTAAATTCATGCTTCTTAATTTTCATCATTTTTTCAGTTACTTTGACTATCTACACCCGCACTGAAAATCATCAATGAGTTGAGGAATTTGTGAACTGCAGAAAAATATTTGCTTGGCTATCTCATGGCTCATAGCTCCTATTCTGTTAAATAATGACAGAATAGCAATAGTTAGAATAGGATAGTTAGATAATAATAAAATGAAGTATTTTGTAAGTAATTTTATGAGAAAACAAAAACCTATAACATGTGTGATATGTGTATGCATGGGCTACTTGTTGTATCTACATTCAAAAATACACCAAAAATGCAGCAATTCTAATGAATGTTGAAATCAAGGGTGCAGATAATCAGAAAGCACCTACGTTCTCACTTTCCAGCATCTGTTTTATAACTTCCAGTCAGTGGATAAAGGCAAAACACCACAATCACGATAAATATTTTTTCTTTTCTTGTTCTGTTCTTGCTTTTTAGTAGCTGTCTGTCTAGACGTGAAAAGATTCCTTATATCATGTTTCAAGCACAGTTTTTGATCTTCTGGTAGACGCTTTAATTCTGGTAGCAGAGACATAAGAAACTGATAGTCCGAATCTTTCTGAAGTCTGGATTGTTCTAGACTTGTACCATTATTTTGAACTATGTTTAAATCCTTTTGAAGTTTTGATTGTTCTAAACTTGTACCATTACTTGGAACTATATTTAAATCCTTTTGAAGTTTTGATTGTTCTGAAGTTGTAACATTATTTCGCACAATATTTTGGGATTCATTTTTAATGGTGTTCCAAGTCTCTGAAAAAGTGTAAAGTTATTTGACACACACATATTTTGTTAAAAAATCATACTTATGAAATAAAACTCAGCATTCACTAAACAGCATATTATTTAGTACAGCCAAAATAATTTACAACATTATGTAAAAGTTTAAAAATATTATAATTATCATCATAAGAGATATAGGGCGTTTCGAAACCGATGGGCAAAAATTTAAGGGGTGGTAGAAAACATCTAAACAAGAAATTTGCACCATACAATGCATGGACGGAGAGCAAGTGGTGAACCGCTAGGAGAAATCCGTTACTGTTACATGAAAGAATTAAACACCAAACGGATAGAGGAGTACTTTTACTGACACCATGTGGCAAAATTACAGAAGCTGCTCAAAAGAGCGACCGCCTGCCTGAAGTAATGCAAGCGTTACACTTGTGATGTAGCGAGTGGCACACTTTTACAAATACATCCTATATTTCTCGGATGACATTGCCAGCAACAGAAATCATGACAATTAGGTCCTTGTTGGAGTCGATGGGGCTTTTGTAGATGCGACATTTCAAAATGGCTCTACAGGAAAAAATCCAGACTGGAGAGATCAGGTGAGCGTGGTGGCCAAGGTGTTGGTTCGCCCTGACTAATCCATTTGCCTTGGGAATTTAACATCTAAAGCGCTCCAAACATCCAAGCTGAAATGGGGTGGTGCTCCATCGTGCTGGAACCATATATGTGTTTGTATGTTGGCTGCAACAGGTTGAAGTAATGCTGGCAATACCTTTTGCATAAATGTGAGGTAAAAGACGATGAGTAAGAAAACTCGTGCTTTATGTTTTCCATTACAGTACCGTCTATCACCGCTTGCTCTCTGCCCATGCAATGCATGATGAAAACTGCTTGTTTAAATGTTTTCTGAGATACCATAAATTTTTGCCCTGAAACACCCTGTATATAAAATCAGATCTTCCCATTATAAAACTGAAATATGAAATTTGTTACATGTCATATTATGATTTGAATGTTTTTGCAAACTGCTTACTTGAAAAGCTGTAACCACTCCCCAAACAATGCTCTCTTTATCTTTTAAACTGTAGTTTAACAGGATATAAACTGAATGATTTTAATTTTTGATAAATTTTTTCTTTTAATCTTTCAAATTACAATTGTGCATTGCGTATTAATGTAACATATGAACTATGTAAAGATAATACTTCTTAATAACGTACACAAATATGCTTCAGAAAATTATGATTTTTAAAAAATTACAATCACACCTTTATTAAAAAAGACGCCTCATTAACAGATAGTTTTTTAATTCTGAGATCTTCGATGTAGGAGATAAAATACACTCTGATATGGACAAAAGCTTTCAACTCATGAGTATCTACTAACAGCTGCACTGGCTGTAACATAAAGTTTTATAAATATTGTTTACAGCATTATTAAATATTATTCAGAATCTAATTTATGCAATTAGTATAAATAATAAAATATATCTTTATTTCTATACATTCTGTACCTTGGCAACGAAATACAGTACAAAGTCTGACATCCGGACTCATTGGGACTTCAGCGATTCCGGCTTTGGGATTTTTCTGGATATTAGATCATCAGTATAAATCTAGTAAGATGGTATGTAGAAATTATAAAACTAAAAATATGAAATTGTGATTTATGAAATAATGAAGTATTTATGATCTAAAGAGTATCAAAATTTACAAAAAAAAAAAAAAAAAAAAAAAGAGCTTAATATTTATTTGTTTATTTTATTAAACATTTCTTTCAATGTAAGTTGCTTCGTTTTATGTGATAATACTTTCTCTTTAATTCTGTAAATAGACATAATCTCTTGTTTAGCTACGAGGCGTATTCGGAAACTAAGTACCGTTTTGAAAAAAAAAAAATAGTAAAACAATTTTTTCGAATCCAATTTTATTTTTACATGAAAATACATGTCTTAAACTATTTTTCAACATAGTTTCCGCCAATGATCAAACACTTGTCATAGCGGGTGACCAGTTTTTGTATACCATCGTCAAAGAAACTTCCCGCCAGTTTCGATAACCACGACTCCACACTTTTCGGTGAATGAGTGTGTCTCCACTCCATCGATTGTTGTTTCGATTCTGGTGTGAAATGACACACCCCAGTTTCATCACCTGTCACAATTTAGTTTAAAAAGTTTTCTCCCTCATCACTGTACGCGTGAGAAAATGTCAGGGCACTACCAAGTCGCTTTGTTTTGTGAACATCAGTGAGCATTTTTGGAACCCATCGGAAACACAGTTTGCGATAATTCGAGCGGTCAGACACAATTTCGAACAAAACAGTACGTGAAATTTGTGGGAATGCTCTGAAAGAGTTGTCATTGTGAAGCATCTGTTCTCGTGAATTGCTTCATCAACTTTCCTTACCAAATCATCGGTGGACAACAGAAGGCGACCACTCCGAGCCTCGGCGTGGACATTTGTTCGACCTGCATTAAACATTCTTACCCACTTTCTCACCATTTCATCACTTATCGTATTCACCGTAAACCGTGTCACTTGACGATAAATTTCGGCCGTTTTAACATTCCTCGCGTTCAAAAATTTAATCACGGCACGAATCTCACAGTCAGCGGGGAAAGAACTAATTGTCTTAAATTTTGAATGTGCACAGCAAACTGAAAACACACATAGAGCAACCAAAATGGCGACAATTGAAAGTCAGTGAACAAGAAAGACTAGTGCGCATGCGCGGGACGCCTACCACGGCGCGGCGACGGCGCTAGAATGAAACGGTACTTAGTTTCCGAATACGCTACGTACATTGAAGTCCTGTAACTGCTGTTTCGAGAATTCCGACTAACTTGTCAATCGAAATTTTCTTGTTTTCAGTAACTTCTCTGTCACTTTCTTCACTATCGGTAGCAGTACTTTCTGGATCTAGAACCATACTACAGATTTCGCCATTCATTAATTGATTGATAATTGAGAAACACTGTCATCACAATGAAAAACTTCTTTTATATCATCTTCATTTATTACTGCTTCTTATTTCTTTACAAAATCTGTTAATTGGGAAATTTCACCTTTGTTTTGCAATATCCGAAAACCTTTAAAATTAGCGGCTATCATCAACAAATTTAGCTATCCTTCACTATACATTATGCATCATGAGCTTGGCGACTAATGACAAGTTGCTCTGTTAAATTTTATCTTGCTTCTATTGCGCACCGGATAATTAAGCCTAAATTGTATTAGTTTAGTTATTTATTATACTTATGTCTATTTCTTGCACATGCTTAAGGCTTATCATAGTTCTGAATAAATAAATTCCCACACACACATAAGCCTTGAGGGCCGGATATCTTATCGCCTGATGCAGTCTCTGTGGGTCCTAAATTTTGCTACCAAGCACCTCCTTAAGTTCTAAAGTTTTGCCACCCCTAAATTTTGAATTCCATTGCTTTTCCTAAATTCTAAAAATTTCTTCATACCTTAATTTTGTGTTCGTTTCCTTATTCCAAAAATTTTGTCTTCCGTAAATTCTTCCGCCTCTGGGCATACGAGTTCTGGCATCAGTTCTGGGTTTATGTGAAAAACAAATCAGTTATTCTTAATTCAAATAGCACTAAATGTAAATCAGTTAGTCTTAATTTAAATAGCTCTATGTAATCTTTTGATTATGAATATCATCAACAAAATCTATTTTTAGCATATGGAAAGAAATTTTTGGTAAATTTTTCCTCGTCAACATTTTTACCACATTTAATTTAAATCTGTAATCATTGCCAAGCATAATGTCAACATAAAATGTTTCTATACTCCTTTATTATTCAATTACTAACATAAAAAAATTGTTTAGGCATCGCTACATGAGTCATTACTTAAGTTGTCATGTTTTGATAAACATGTGGTGATGAAAAGAAAGTATAATAAATAATGATTCACCAGGTTGGCATCAGATCAACAATGTATCTATGTGGAATGTTTTGGTTTGAGATGTTTGCCAAGCAGATACGAAGCAATGGAGCCAAATTACTGATTGTACAAATTTATGCTAAAATGATCGTGTCTTCAATAACAAGGTATTTTATTTAGTGTTGAAGTGAAATTAAGAATCGGGACTCTCCAGATATTTTATTATGCACAAAGGGGGAATCAAATGTGCATGTGTAAAGCCTAGAGAAAAATATTGTTGGTGGTTTTGAGGTCCGGATTTTAAATCATTCCAGGTAATGGACATCCGGATTTTGGACTTTGTACTGTAATTGCTTCATTAAATATATAGTGTGGTTTTTTTTTAGACAATGAGTAATTACAAATAAAATCTATGTAAAGACTTCGAATTAAAAATTAATACGAATAAATTATAATACGAATTATTATGCTGATATACATATTTTGATTTTAAATTAGAATAAAAATTGGACTCAAATCAGTTACCTTAAATGATTTAAGCTATGTCCTTTATGGATTGTGAATTATTGTACAGTTAAATACACTCTAAAAAGATTTCTATATATCAAATAGAAAGCAAATAACTACCTTTAATAAACAAGTACTCATAAAATTCTGTCTTTTTTTCAAAGCTAATAATATTTTAAGAGACAGAAAAAGACCTCTCATCTTTTAGTAAGCATAGGCAAGTGATTATTTTTTTTTTAACTTCTAGCTAAGGTATACAAAATCTTTTGGACAGTCAGTTATACATATAAAAACTTTTGCACAATTTAAACCATTCTGAAATAATTAAAAATTTCAAATGTAAGTTTTGAAGAGGAAGCAAGGAAAAAAGATGATTTTACCAATGGCAGTTTAATGTATCGTAATATCACTCGATGTATTTTCAATTCAAGTAAATTTTACAGGTGGCAAATATTCCATCAAGAAATGCAATATAGTCTCCCTTTTAAAAAATTAACTTATAGCTTTCTGCATTTACTTAAAACAAATGGATTTATATTCTTCTTTTTTAGTCTCAATATCAAATTTGAGAAAGGCTAGTACATAAAATGGAATTCTTCGACTTAAAGCCTATTACAATAAAAGGGCTTCCAATGCACTTGTACTAATTCATGTTCCTATCCTAAAATCTACAGTTTCCAGAACTTTTTTTATACCATCATTATTTGACCAACTATACAAAGCTATGCTGATCGAGTAAGGTTCTTATGTTGATTAACCAGTTGTTATGATTTTGATCTTTACTATAACTTCTTTCTTTATTTGCTACCAGAATACAAAATAGTTTTGAGCATATTTAAGTTGAGAGTGTTTGAATCTTAGAGCAAGAGAGCTTCTGACATTTGCATCTGCTGTTAATTTTTCAACTCAGGCTTGGGATTCTTGCCAGCCGATGCTTTAAACTATGCACTGTTAAAATACTTCGAGCCAGTTTATTCTAGCGAATGGGTAGTTTTAGTTTATGTTATCAGTGCTTGAATTGAACTATCTGCAGGCCCGTGGCGACAATAAGTGCAAAGTCGTGCGGCGCACGATGGCGCTGACTCGAAAAGGCGCCGGGCAGTCATTAAAACAAGCAGTTCGTTTCACTGCCTGTCTGAACAGGAAAATTCTTATCTTATTTGAGCGCCCCTCCAGGGGTCGATTTCAGGTAAAACCTGGGAAGCTACTGATTAGGATCTGTGTACCTAGGCAGTCTCGGCCACGAGTGTTTAAAATCAGTCTCCATAGTACTGGAGTCATCGCTGCCAATAACTGTTTCAGACTCGACAGGGACCATATGGTACTGTCTTGTCTGTTCCGTTGGTTGTAATGGAGCTACATTGTCAAATGTTCATGGTTGTCCAGAGTGAAACACCCCCCCGTCCATGGAGTTGGCGAATTCAGCAAGCCTTTAATCTGCTTGAGGTTTCCAGTGGATGCCTGGAACCTCAAAACTGCATGCATATTTATATCCTTCCTTGGTTTCCCCAAGGGGAACCTAAAGCCAACATCTGTATACCATGAGGTAGTGTGGGCAGGCCGGATTGGTGGCTGTTCTGTCCGACAGTGTTTAAGTGACTTCATTCTGCTGTCTGGGGTTGGGGCCCCTGTTGATGGCAGATGTTTTTACCATCTCTCCAGAACCGGAACGTGGAATGTGAGCTGCTAAGAATTCCTGTCGACTCAGCTTATTCTTATCTCGTCGGCTTGACCGATAGTTTAGCGGCCTCTTGGATCGCCTATAGGTGTTGGGGCTTTTAACTGTGTTAAGTCAGCTCGAACTTGCCAGGTCTGAGTGCCCCTCCCTCCTAGCACACTGTCTTATTTGACCGAAAGTTATAACCAGGGCAGGAATTCGTCTCTGGTGTTCTCTTCTGCCTTATTTGAATGGGAAAATACTTGATGCCATAGTGTATGTAAGGGTAGACACATTCGACAAATTGCTTAATCCTTATTTTGTGTCTATTGTTACAATCATAGTAATTTGAGCAACATTTACGTATTTTGTGATTGCTTGTTGTTATTGTTTTTCCACATGAAAAAAGGTTAGTGCAGTTACATATTATGTTAAGCTTAGGTTAACTTTTTAAATTCGGAAAAGCGACGATTTGAGCATAATTACTCAAAAGCCATTTACCTCTTATATTTGAACCATTGTTGTATTCCTGGCCATGTAAATTACTAATATCTGAACCATTTTCATTCTTCAAGTCTTTTATAAGAATGTTGTTCATCCTCCACCGGTAGTATCCGTAATAAAAACCTTTCTTGAATACTCATGTCTGCATTTTCTAAATTAAGATAACTCATACAAATTCATATCTGCTCTTGATGGCTGGCATCAGGGGTACAATCAAGTAAAATAGAAAAATGCTTTGCATGTTTGACCTTATCTAAAATAATTTGTTTTATATTATTCCCTAATAAGCTAACTTTTATTTTAAATTTTATCTCCAAGGTAACATTTTTTTTTTTTTTTTTTTTTTAGTTTGAATTTTATTAATCTATACAGACAGGATAGGGCCAAATTTTGTGATCATTTTTATACACTTTAAAATTTTTTTATTTCTTTCGAATAATTTGTTACTGGAACCACGGAGAGCTGTTTTGTTTGGCTAAAAACTGAATGGCATAGATAATTGTTTCAATAGCATCGTGCCAATGCTTAGTCTCTTTTTGTAATAAAATTTGAAATTCCAAATTAACAGGTTATTCTTTCGTAATCTTTTTAAGAAATCAGAATAGCCTTTTCGTTGTTTGGCAAGATTTGACAAAAGTACATCTAAAAAAAATTTACGTCCATTTTTGTCTTTTGGGAAACTGAAACTCGAAACCAGGTTTTGTCATTATCCAGGACAATTTTCTATTAAAAAGGCTTGAACTTAATCCGGAATCATCAGGCACAAATAAATGCGTATCTACTGCAGAAATTGTAGATTTCAATAGTATTTCTTCTGTTTTTTTTTTCGACCAGCTGCAATGAAGTTAAAGGTAATTCCCGTTTGAAAACACTTACTAACTCTTTGTGATTATTAGGTTCCTTTGGTAATTTCAATGGTAGTTGAGACATTGATGGAAAACTAGTGCTAGACTCAGCTTGGATATTCATTGGGGTTTTGGGAAAACTGAGTAATTCTAAGTTCTGTTTTATTAAGTCCTCGTCTCACTTTCTTTTTCTTCACAGCATTCTGATACTTAACACAGTTTTTTCTGTTTTTCTTCCGATATCTGGGGAAAAATGTAAACAGAAAAAGTGGAAGTAAAAATAAAAATAGAAAATAACTATTATAAGAACTACAGCATAAAACACATCTTCTTAAAAACATTCGGAAAGTAACTGTTTGAAATATTTTACCTTACTCCTGAAAAAGTGAGTATATCTTAAACCATTGCTTGGAAAAATAATTCAAGGAGGTGGCAGTACTCTTTTGTTTATTAAAGTAAATAAATCAAATTTAAAGTATGTATGTATTTAAGATGTAATGAAATAACAAAGCATTTTCCTTCGGTTTTCCGCATAGATAAAAAATCATAAAATGGCCAATTTTTGATTTCGAAATACCTTGTATATTTTTACTTCACTTCAAATCTGAAATATGTATATTTAAAATTCAGTGGTACTCCGTAAATATGTCAATCCTTTTTTCTCGAAAGATCATAATTTTTAGCTTAATAAAGAGATGGTTGATGTAAAAACAAAATTTGAGTAATTAATGCTCAAATTGTGGCTTTTCTGAATTAAAAAGCTAACTTAAGTTTAACATAATATGTAACTGCACTTACCTTTTTTTTATATAGAATAACAGTATCAACAAGCAATCACACACACACACACAACACACAAAAAAAAAAAAAAAAAAAAAAAAAAAAAAAAAAAAAGAGTTGCACACATTAGTACGATTGTAACAGCAGACACAAAATACGGACTAAGCAATTTTTCGAACGCTTCTACGATGCTCCCTGTACCCTTACATGCGCCTCGGCATCACGTATATTCATTCACATACTATATTTACAAGATCAGCTCAGCTTATGTCAAAAATTGCAAAAAGCATTAACTGATAAAAATCAAAGCTATATAAATAGTATAGATCTTATGCATGAACTGCAGTTTTTGCAAAATTTTAGAGGAAATGTAGCACTGCCAGTTGAAACTCTACGCTATGTCGTTGTCAACAACATAGCAGTCTGCAGAAAAGAATTTTGGCTATATCGCTAGATATCAGCCCTAGAGGATATTTTGTGTCCTGTTGTAATTACAATTTGAACCTTGTCGTAAACTACGCTGCGAACAACAGTTTTTTCAGTGCAAACTCATCAGATATGTATATTAATTTGTTTTTAATTTCTGATAATAAATAGTGTTCAGCAATATATTTGGTATCCAATGCATTTATTATATTATTTCGCTTCACTTGCAGTGTTACTTTATAACATGTTGCTGTTGTTTACTTGTCTGACCTAAAATCAGCCCAAGTCCACGAAATTCCTCGTGGCAAGGAGCGCAAGATACACCTGTCGTTAGCAACAGCCTTGAGCACCTTACAGGTGACAGTGTGGTTTAACTCAGTTTCACCCTCAATTTTGATGGAGAGCACCCTGGGAGGATGGGTCCGAGCGTCTCGCAGCCCACTTTTCCCTACCACCAGCCTTTCGAGAGAACTTTTGCCTCCCATGTTTGAAGTGCTCCCATGCCACACGGACAGTATACACTTACAAATATACATGTCTTCTCCTGGATTCGAACCCGGGCCCTTCGGCCGGGCAGTCAGCAACAATAACCACTATATGGGTTCGGCGGCTTTTTATAACAAAAATATATGCATAATTCTTTAATAAATATGTTTGAGTGTAGGTTTTAACAAAGCACAAAAGGTTTGCATATTTAGACAAAAGATAAAATGTAATATTTTTGGTTTTTCATATTATTCTGTTAATAATAGTTCATTTTAAATATTAACCATAAACAATCTCCCTTTAATATCGTAACTACACAAAGGCACTCGCTATACATTTGCATGATGGCGCCGATTAGGCCTGTCGCGGATCTGACTATCTGTTACTGCAATTTAAGCAGACATGTGTGGTGGTTTGTCTGTAGCAGTTGTGCCTTACGTTCAGTTCAGATTAAAATAAAAAGATTATTTTAAACTTATTTTAGTACTTTGTGAGTTGTTACAATGTATTAATAACTCGATATCTTCTCTAATAGGTTCTGCAGTTTCCAGATCAAACTTACAAGTGTTTGACTGTCTATTGATCAAAATTTGTTGGAATTTCTTATCAAATCATAATATTATGATGTTGATCTGAGTCTTTAAACATTTGTTCATCGAGGAAGCAAGACTATTTATAAAGAACAGACTGTGTATAAAGAACTAATAATATCTGCACAAGCCATGAATACAATATTCCATATTTCCAATTTTATCTTATTTAAAAAAAATAATGTGGACTCCACATGACTTCCTCGCATAGAATATTAAATTATATCCACATTTTGCTACATTTCATTTAAACTTATTTCATCGAATTTCATAAGATAGATTTCTCATTCAATTAGATCTGTTCCACTTCACAGCAAGGCAAAAATACACAAAACCTCAAAACACCTTCATTAAAAATTGTAAAATACCAAAAAACACCAAATACAGTTATAAAAAGATTACAATTGACATCAGATTTTCTGAGCAAAAACAAGCAATTCAGCCAGCAGGCAGAAAGAAAGATTTTTCAGTGCACAGAAGCGAAAGTTTACTTTTGGTCTCACTTAGACACCGAAGGTGCAGTAACTGATTTAATTAACTACTCTGCTACGTTTTAAATGTAAAAAAACATGACTGCTATGAAGGAAAAAAAAAAAAAAAAAAAAAAAAAATCATGCTTAGCCGTACTTAAAACTTTAAAATTGTTGATAATTCTACAAAAGGCATAAAACCTATACCAGAAGATAAGAACAACATACTGAAATAATTTTTAATGCAAAAATAGCACAATTTACCAACATATAAAAATTCAAAAAAAAAAAAAAAAAAAAAAAAAAAAAAAACTGAGCTCACTGAGCGAAGTAACAGAGTGGGTATACAAAATTCTAAATAAAAAGTAATTAAAAGTAAATTAAAAAGCCTATGACTTGCGCTAAAGCTGCAAAGTAATAAACCAATAGTTCACAATAATTTATAATAAGAAAACCTTCCATATACCATCTCCAAGGAACAGAAATTCAATTTAAAACCATGAAATAGGAAAAGAAAAAAAAAATTAGTTCAGTATTTGAAATTAGTATTTTCTAGACCTCCTTTGCTTTAAAAACATAAAAATCTGCACTGAAAAATCTTTAATTGCAAAAATACCAAAATCAAAAGTAAACATTTTAAGTGAAGAAAAAGTAGCTTTTGTCATGGATCACAAAAGTTACTTCTACTTTCTACTACTTACACAAAAGTTACTACTACTGAAAGGAGACCTAGAAAATACTAACTAAAATATTGGGGACAAAAAAAAAAAAAAAAAAAAAAAAAAAAACCCTCCCCTCATTTCATGGTTTTAAACTGAATTCTTTTTCCTTGGGGATGATTGATGGAAGGTTTTCTTATTAGAAATTATTATGACTTATGACTATTATATATTTACTTTTGATTTTGGTATTTTTGCAATTAAGAATTTTTCTTTATAGATTTTTTTTTTAATCAATAAAGATTTTGAAAATATTTAAAATAATAAATAAAATACTGACTAAAAATTTTTATGGTTTTAATTGAACTTGGAATGTTCCTTGGAGCGCTGGAACATGAAAAGTTTTCTAATTATAAAATTGATATATTTATATGTAATATAAATTACATATATTAATAAATCATAATAATTTGCTTAATACTTGCTGAAAAATTATAAAATAATAATTTATTTACTAATGGAATATTGAGTATATTTTCTCCTTTGAGAAAGTTAGTAGAATTGTAGTTAAATGAAGTAACTGAGAAGCATTTAAAAATAAATAATTTTTAAAGGGGACATCAAATATGAATCATGAAAAATTTAAAAAAAAAAAAAAACTGAGAAGCATTTAAAAATGAATCTTGAAAAATTTTTTAAAGGGAATATCAAATATGAATCAAGAAAAAATTGAAATAGGAAACTTTTAAAAAAAAAAAAAAAAAAAAAAAAAAAAAAACAAGTAATGATCGCCATTGATTGGAAATTGGTTGACTTTTGAAGGAGAACAAACCAACCCCCGATCAATCAACAATAATTATTAAACGCGGAGGTGTTTCATCTTTTACTAAAGTAAGAATTATGATGTTAAACTAAGTTAAGCCAATTAGTTAGATTTTAAGTGAGATGGATTAAAGTGAAGGTACTTTATAGAATTCATTATGAATATGGTAGTTCTGTTTAGCTTATAAATTGTTTATATTGTGAGATATTGCTAGGCTGAGTAGTAGTAAAATTTTATCACTTGAGTAAAGTGTCCCCTGCCACTCTCATGCATGTTAATTCAAGGTAATCTTTATAAACATAATAAACAAAATGCAATCTTTGCAAAAATTTAAAAATATAAAAGTTGAAAAAATTAAAAATTAAAAAAAATATTTACACAAAATAAGGTGCATTAAAGTGTACAAATTGAAATGTACATAATATACATATATGGCCAGAATATGAATTAATTAACTTACGTGCTTGCAAGTTACTCAGCCTAGCAATAATATTTCATGATATAAAAATTCATGCAATTTTCTCCTTCTTTGAGACATTCAGAAAGCAAGCTTCCCTTAAATTTTAAAAGGGACTTAGTAATTGCTTTTGCCTTACTAAATGATTTGCTCATGGAATTCAAGTGCATGGGCTCTGATTGATGAAGCAAGTGAGCAGCTTCAAGAAAACAGTGGTATCTCATATTCTTGATGGTTCTGAAGATCACTACATGTGGGAGGACAAACTAAATGGTGACAATGACAGTGCTTGCTGTAGCAAAGACAGCATTCTTCT